TCCACATCCAACACTGAACTGAGTTGTGGAAACATATCCAAAATGCACTAAATGTTTTAAAAAAATGGCTCTTAAGAACTGCAAAGTGTGTTCTTTAACTTTGTTCGCCGAATTAACCTTTGTTGCAGAAACAACGGAGGTCGTTTTGAACAGTTTTTATAATAAGTGGTACTAAATTTAATAACATCAATTTTGTTACTATTATCTCCTGCATTTTTTATTGTACTTGATTGTTTTTACGAATTATTTCAATAAAATTAGGCACGTTGTAAATAACTAAGTCGTCGTACGTGTGAATCCATATCGAAAAATGAAGTAACGTGTGGTATATTTTATCGTAGTAAACACTTATTAAGAATTGTCACGCGCAATGACTTAAAGATCAGACTGAAATTACAGTCAACCTACAAAATCAGTGACTAATAGCACTTTATTAAGTACTGTAATATATGTAGGTGACAAGATCATGTAGACATTTAAAAAATATTTTTTTCTACCCAAACTGCTCATTTAATCAAAGAGGTTCAAATAGTATTACCTATCAAATAAAAAATAGTCGTTATTGCCCGAAAGAGGAAAAAGTTATGAACGAATATTATCACATTAATCAATTTTGTAGGAGTTGTGAGTTTTAAAAAACACTCTGTATAACATCAAAATTTGTAGATTGAAAGCAAAAGTCCACACCCCAAAAATAATCAAAATCGAATAATACGTATTCGAGTTATGTATTTACAAAATTAAAAAAATTTTCACTAACTTTGAGGCCATCTAGCGGCCAAACGAAGCGATTTTGGATATAGATGAATTAGCCTAAATCTGCCTATTTTGAGTTCACGAATCTGTGATCTTCCGGTATACAGAGTGTTAAAAAAAGAGTGTAAAATATTTAAGGAGGTAACAGTATGAACCAAAATAAGCAGAAAAGTCTCAATAAACATGGGTCCGCAAAGTAACGGTTGCGGAGATATGGAATGTTTTATGTTTTTTAGCCCCTTTTTTTATTTTGCAAAAACGTTGTGTATTTTCTTATAATAGTTGGTTGATGTTTAGTGAAATAAACAGTACGTATTTGACAGTTGTTCTCAGTGCACAAGTTTTCTTTCGCTATGGCTGGTTACTCTAACGCAGAATTAACAGACATGCATTTCATGTATGGTCGTGCTAATGGGAACGCCACCGAAGCGCGACGTCTTTATGTTGACGCTTATCCAAATCGCCAGATTCCTTCACAACGCATGTTTGGAAGAATTCACCAAAGATTGCGTGATACCGGTTCCTTGAGCAAACAGTGCCATTTATCCGGAAGACCAAGGTCGGTATCCACTCCTAGAGCAGAAGAAGAAATTCTAGCACTGGTAGAGCAGAATCCAGGTACGAGTGTGCGGAGAATATCAGCCGAGGTAGGAATTAGTGGTCCTCTTGTTTGGAGAATCCTTCACGAGCAACTGCTTTATCCATACCATGTGCAACGAGTACAGGCCTTAAATCCAATAAATGATCATCAAGCACGTTTGGTTTTTTGCCGCTGGTTTCTACGTCATGATGCTGAAGACCCTCGTTTTCTTGCAAACATTCTTTTTACTGATGAGGCCGGGTTCACAAGAAATGGAGTGTTTAATTTTCACAATACGCATATTTGGGCCGACGAAAATCCTCATGCTCTAATAGAATCTGGACATCAGGCACGTTTTTCATTAAACATTTGGATGGGTATTGTAGGTGACAGGTTTCTAGGTCCTGTTGTTTTACCAAACCGATTAACAGGCGCTGCTTACCTCAACTTTCTGCAGAACACACTGTATGAGTTTTTGGAAGACATTCCTTTGAATCAGAGGCAACAAATGTGGTTCCAGCATGATGGTGCTCCAGCTCATTTTTCCATGGCCGTTAGAGAGCATTTACACCAAACTTTTCCACATAGATGGGTAGGAAGGGCCGGACCTGTTTTATGGCCTCCAAGATCGCCTGATCTGAACCCTCTAGATTTCTTTGTTTGGGGATATTTGAAGACATTAGTGTATGGTACTCCTGTAAATAGCCTGGAAGAGCTGCAGCTACGGATTAATCAAAAGTGTCAAGAAATCCAAACCAAGGAGGGTGTTTTCGAAAGAGTTCGAATATCGTTGAGACGAAGATGTCGTGCCTGCTTGGAAATGGACGGAGGGCACTTTGAACATCTTCTGTAACTTTGTTTTTTGTTTGTTAAAAGCTTCCTTTGTCGGTTTATTCCTAATAAAATAAAATGTTTGAAAAACGAATAGTGGTCCATATCTCCGCAACCGTTACTTTGCGGACCCATGTTTATTAAGACTTTTCTGCTTATTTTGGTTCACACTATTACCTCCTGAAATATTTTACACTCTTTTTTTAACACCCTGTATATTGATAGAACTATCAGTTTCGTTATAAATATTTAAACAATTTTTGATGTTTTAACAAAAAAACAAAAAAAAATATTTACACATTCTGAGAAAATAGACATGTTCGTTTTATTTGGGGAAATCCGCAAGAATGCATTAAATGCGCAAAGATTATATGCAAAAAGATATCCCGAACGAAACTTTCCAGAGCACAACATTTTTAGCGAAATTCTAAAGCATTTCCCGGTAAGCCATGATTTCAGTGTCTATAAAGTCCACAATGAATACTTTCAGTTAAAAAATTGAAAAAAAAAGATGTTGCGACAAATGAAAATGTAGTTACAATCTCGTATTTCTTTGAAAATAATTATGAGACCTCCATAGAAGAAGACACAAGAAATATAATCTTAAAAATAAATAAATATCACGATCATAAATTTCAAAACGTGCAATAAATTTCTTTAAGAGATTTTAGATAGAAAGAGGATCTTATTTGCCAATTTCATTTCTAGTAACTTTGGATGATAATCCTAATTTATTTTAAAATAAATGTCTGATTGAAGATCCCAACATTAATATTTAGTAGTTGGTATTTAAATTTCCTTCAAAATCAACTTATACTTCTACTTGACATTCTACTGCGCATAAGATATAGAACACATGGTCCGTTAAGGCGTCCTCCTAGAACCCCCGACTTGAATTTGTTAGATTTTTTTCTGAAAGGAACTTCGAGGTTTCATTATCTACCTTAATTTTCAATCGCAATTAGCCTAAACAAAACAACCTTGACAATGCCCGCTTTGCTTCAGCCGAGCTATCGATGGAGTCAGCAGTTCTAAAATAGTTTCTTTGTATTTTTGTGGTCAGTCAGCGACAGTATAAGATATATTCTGTTAGCAAAAGATATTTCTATCAATCGAATTTTCATGTGACTATTTAGTTACCCTTCAAATCTCCTAGTTTGAAAACACCCTGTATAACTGTCTTTTGTGTCGATCAGCAGCAGCGAATCGCAGAATTTTTGTCAATGTAAAATAACTTACATAATTACCTAACCAATTAAATTAACTTTTACTCATACTATCGAGATTTTTAAAGTTGCTTCTTGATTTAAAAATGTATCAATATTTACAATGCTATTGCTTATTACATTTTTTAAATTACTTACACATAAAAGCAAACAAAATTTGATACTTAAGGATTTCTAATTATACTCGTAAAGTCAACTCCGGAACTGTTTCGAATGATGTTAAACGCCTGTCGTTTTTTTAATCCGCAAAAAATAACCCTGCCTTTGTGGCTAAGAGAAAAACCTTGTCAGTGGTATCGGAATCCAAACATCGTCCAACTGACACATATTTTTTTTTTAAATACATGTTTATATTTTTATTTCGAGACATAGAGAGGTGTACTATAATCTACATTTTACATTTTTACAGAATACTCTTCTATTTCGGGTTCGTCATTAATAGATCTGTTACGATTATAACCGGTAATCTCTTTTAATAAAACCGAATCCCGTGATCTTCTATAAATAACAATAGAAAAACTTGCTTTGTGTGCTCAAACTGAAAAGTTAATAAAGCTTTCTGTTTGGTCAAGATTAAAAATGTTTTCTGGAAAGGCAACCACCACACCAGCTAAAACCTCAGACCCGAGTCCAATTGAAATAACTGGAATTGCTAGGTATATGCATTGCGGTTGTCTGTTTAATAATTTGATCTTTTTTGAGTACTACAAATATTTTATATTTTTAGGGGGCAGAAAACGTAATGCTACAAATTAACATGTAGGTAACGGGTACAGACAATGAGTTTATACATTTTTTCCTCCTTTAGGTACTTTAGATCGATTAGATCGTACAATGTTATTATACCAATCTAGATTTAATATAAATTACACCGTAAAAAAATATTTTTTTCTGCATTAAAATTGCCAATAAAGACTGTAAAATTTAGTTTCTGATTTCATTCCCGAAAAGTTTTTCGTCCGTACAGTTTTAAACTGTTCCTACTTAGCAAATGTGAAAACAAAATGGTTTTCCGAGAAGAACATTTTTTATTCACAAAATATAAACATTTTAACCAAATGCCTAAAAAAACTAATAAATATCTATCGAATTTTGTGGCCAAGACAAAGTGAATTAAATGATATGAAATTGAAAATTAAAAAAATATGCACTTTTAACTCAACACGAAGTGCAAAAATTTAGCAAAAACCATAAAAAACAATGCAATAGCAGACGATGCGTGCCTTTTTAAAATTAAAGACTTTAATTCTCCAAAATACTAAGATAGCACTTTTAATTCACAAAATGCAAAAATTTTAAATAAAAACAAAAATAAACAACGGATTTTATACAAAGTGAATTGATACCTTAAAATTTAAAGATACGCTTTAGTCTTTAAAACTAAAATTTAAAATAATGGGAAAACGTATTTGGGCAAACCTAAATCCATTGGTTAAAATTAAAAGACAGTTTAGTCTCCCAAATGAAAGACTAAAATGACATTTTTAATTCAGAGAACAAACATTTTTAACTAGAAATACAAAGCAAAATCAAATTTGTGCAAAGCGAAATTAGTCAAAAATTTAGTTATAGTGTGTCCGACCATTATCACCATTCAAATGACTTACCCTAGATGTTTAGTATCTTCGCCATCGGACAGGCCATTGCCCAGTGATTTCTTTTCCATAAAACCTTGTGACTTAGTATCTTCTACGCGTTTTCGAAAACTGTCGCTTGTAATGTGTTGAAATTGATTTTTCTGTACGGAATTTACATTACCGTCTCTCCTTGAATCGAACTCCTGCCGATTTTCAGGCAATACCGGTTCTTTCGTTCTATTCGGGCACTTTTGATTCCTTAGGAATTCAAATTCGCGATTTTTTAAGTCCTGGATGTAGTTCTTGTAACTGTAATCTTTCATTTGTTTTTGTTGGAAGAACGTTTGAGTCACTGATTTATCGGTATAGTTTTGGTAATTGTGTTGGTAATAGTTCATTTTTATTTAGCGGAACGGCTGTTGTTGAAAATGATATACAGGTTTAGTTTAAGCCAATTTGCTACATAAATAAATCTAGCTTACTAAAAACTGTCATGTCATGTAATATACATACTCATAAAATTGTATGTAAAATTATGTATTATTGATCAGTTTAGCGTATACAAAGTCGTTCTAATTTCAACTATGTTTCCAATCCACATCAAGTCGCTCATAGGACTCGCCGATACTTTGAAGACTGTCGTGAATCGCCCAAAAAATCACCAACATAAATCCAGAAACCCAACCACATTCGACGGCGTGTCAAGACGGTACCAGGAATCGCTGGAATCTAGAGAGGCCAAAAACAAGAAACAACTACGAATATCTGCTTCGAGAATTGGCGGAGCTATCAATGGGTGTGATTGAACGTCAAAACATGCCAATAGAATAATGAATTAATAATGCTGCAAGCTATCTGCAAGCTATCGACTATGCCGTAAACAAAATTCGTGAGTTAAAAGAAAATAATGATAAAGACCAAACTTTCTTATGAGCTCAAAGAAATGAGATGTAAACCATACTTGTGCACTTTAAATGAAATGCCCTGTATATCTGTAACTTATTTAAATTCCTTACTTTCTCTGATTGCAAAATATACATGCCCAGTATTTGTTTTCATAGTTAGCTCAATATTTTGGTTTATTTATTGACCTTGCACGATGGAGTGAAGAAGGGCCTTGGAACCAGAGCTTGTGCTATTTAAATTTACTAAACATATTTTTAACATTTTTATTAAGACAAAATATCTAAAAGACGTTCTATAATATATTCGTCTAATTCTAGACACAGGATCATACTATTCCAAGATGTTTGTTACAATGTCATAATGAAATGTAGGTATGTAGTACCTACTAATTATTTCTCTCAATATTTTTCTTTTAAATTTTATAAATTATTCGATCATTCTTTGTCTTTTTACCTTTCAGTTTATATGCATGCACATGTCGATTAAAGAATTATTCTTTTGTAAGAGAAATTTGGTTAAAAAAAATGTTTTTTCCTAGGAGAATATGGGATTACCATAAAATATTTTTTACAGTATACAATTTTTAATAGAAATTAAAAGTTTAGAATATTTAATTTTGAAAATGTAAAAATGCCATAGTTCGATGGTAATATTTACCTACTGGTTGAGTTGGGTAAATAAAATGTGGTTAAAATTGTTATTTATCTTCACGTTAAAAAAATTGGATTATTGGGGGCGTGATTCTTTTTAAATAGATACCAAAAACTTTTTTAATTACACAACAGACAGGACGTTCCGTTCTTCGTCAAGAACTTTTTCAGACATCTTTATTAATAATCATTTACACACAAATTATTAAAATTATTGGAACGTTGAATAAGTTCTCGCCGTTTTCCAACAGATGGCATTACAAGAACTGCATGCGTGGAATTTAAGATGTTAATGCACCTATGAAGAAGTACTATAAGCAAGCTTGAATGAAAGTGTAAACTACTTTTTTTTCAAGAGTTAAACATGTCTAATTTCTAGCCGAAAAAAGGATATTTGCGGAGAATTTTACTGTATTATTTTAACCAAAAGAAATTTGCAGCTAAACCACACAGAATTCTTGTTGAGACTTACGGCGACCATGCCCTGTCACAAACAACATACAGAGATTGGTTTAAACGCTTCAAAAATAATGATTTTGATATTGAAGATAAGAACGCTCTGGCACAACGAAACAGTTTTAAGATGAAGGACTATGACTAGAGGCATGAAGACTCATGTCAAACATTAGCTGAACTTACAGAATCATTAGAAGTTGATCACGCAACAATTTCGAAACGTTTGACAGCATTAAGAATGATTCAAAAGCAAGGACATAGAGTGCCGTACCAGTTGAAGCCTAGAGACGTCGAACGGCGTATTTGCAAGTGTGAACAGCTGCTTCAACGACAGAAAAGGAAGGGTTTTTTGCGTCATATTGCGACGTGATGAAAAATGAATACGCTACAATAATCCTAAGTATAGAAAATCGTGGGCAAAACTAAATATCCATGGTTCCAAGCTTCTGCTTTGCATTTGGTGGGATCAATTTGGTGTAGTTTATTATGGCTCAAACCAAATGAAACCGTCATGGAAGATCGCTATCGACTACAATTGACATGTATTCGACCATTGAAGAAAAATAAACGAGCAGAGAAACGACAAACTGATTTTGCAGCATGACAACGCTTGGCCACATGTTGCAAAACTGATGAAAACGTTTAAATGGGAAGTCTACTTCCCACCCGCTATTATCACCAGGCATTACCCCTTCCAATAATCATTAGGTCCGATCGATGGCACATGACCTGGTTCAGCAGCACTTTCATTCTTATGAAGATGCCAACAAATGGATCGACTCTTGGATAGCCTCAAAGGACGTTTCGTTTTTCCGACGTAGAATTAAAATGCTGCCAGAAAGATGGGAAAATAGTAGTGGCTAGCGATGGATAACACTTTCATTGACATTTTTTTTACTAATTTTTTTAAATAAAGTATTACTTTTCACGAAAAAATAGCGAGAACATATTCAACATTCCATTACAAAAATTTGTTTGACATCATATTAGCGTATACATGTTCCAACATGATTTTAAACAAATGTTTGTAATTTTAAATTCCGTTAAGTTATTTTAGGTTCCTGATCAAGAACGGAACGTCATATCTATTGTGTAATTAAGAGATTTTTGGTATTTATTTATAAAGAACCACATCGCCAATAACAAATCTAATTTTTCTTCAACAGCATGTATACAGGGTGAGTTAAAATTCACTCCCCAGCGGCCGGATATATATTCTAAAATAAAACAAAAATGTAGAATACTAAAATCTCGAAAGCGGGGCCGTTTTCGAATAAATTATTAATTTTAGTTGAATAAATGCGCAAATTTCGACTGACTAATCAAGTTGGCCGGACAAAAACAAGGAGTTTTCAATCACCACAACCTTCATTAGTGGTATTATGAGAATCCTCATGAAAAACGTCAGCGGAATCAGCAATACGTTGGTTTGTAAATGTTTGGATACGTATTTACGGGAAAAGGATCATAGGTCCATATTTTTTGCCAAGAATACTGAATGGTGAAAATTACAGTAATTTTTGCGAGAACATGTTGCCAGGTTTATTAGAAGATATTCCTCTACAACAACGTGCAACTATGTGGTTTCAGCATGATGGTGCGCCCGCACATGCCACATTACAAGTACGACATGTTGAACCTAATAAATGGATTGGACGGGGTGGACCAACACCATGGCCACCCCGGTCTTCTGATTTGACTCCGATAGACTTTTGGTTATGGGGATACATAAAAGAAAAGGTTTATTTTACTGTGCCTGTTGGCAGGATTCATGAAGCAGTAGCGGAAATAAATGAAGCTAATTTCTGTTCTGTTGCCAGGAGTTTCCACCACAAATTGCAGAAATATATTAACGAAAATGGTAATGTTTTTGAAGGTTAGCCAAAGCCAGAAGGATCTTCGTTTTTGCTATTTCTTATTTTGTATGAATTTAAATGATGGATTGTAATGGTGTTAATATTAACGAAAAAATTATAAATTTGAATTTTTCTTTACAAAATTTTCCGAAAACGGCTCCGCTTTCGAGATTTTAGTATTCTACATTTTTTTTTATTTTTTATTTTAGAATATACATATATCCTGCCGCTGGGGAGTGAATTTTGACTCAACCTGTATATCGCTGTAGAAAAGAGAGAATACCCAAATAAAACGACGCGGCAAATATCCATTGTTTCATTTATAAAATACATGTTTCATTTATATTTTAGATTTTTTACACTTTGTTGCTTTTTTATGCATTTCTTTGACATCATAAATTTCCTAAAATTAGAGTATTCACCGTCTTATTTCTAGATAGAAAACGAAAAAAGATAAGGTGAGTAGAATGTTAAATGCATCCATCTATTTTATTTTTGATATTTGAGATATAATAAAGGGACGTAAAAATTGACAACACATCGTAATAAATGAATTGGGATATTCACACGTAAAATTAAAACGTATTATATTATATTGTACACGTATATTTTAATCACATTTTCTAAGTTTTAGGTTATATACTTTTATTCGTCAACATATTATTCTTTCCAATAACCACGTAAATAACGTAATATATAACTTAGAAAACGGGAAGATCAGTGACACAATTGCATATGTGACCGATTTCGGGGCAATAAAAAGTCATATGTCGCTGCTGTAATATACGTCGCTTTAGATCCGAAACCCTCACAAGAATAGAAATGTGAATTCTTTGTTCTTATTTATGTATTATGGGCACCGTATAAAACGGACGGAGGAATTTGTTTATCGAATCTAATTTGATTTACTCAGTTATTTTTAAGTCCCAAGATTCAAAATAAGATGTTAGGTAACTTATTTGAGATTAACAAAGATATATCGCTGAATTAATCGACAAAGATGTGTGATAAAATTCTTGTGTGTCAGTCGGCTAATGTTTCCTTGGAGAAATAAAAAATTTATTGTATTTCTCTTCTACGAAAAATGTTTAACGCGTTTTTGACAAATAAATACGGACTAGTAGTTTGCAGTAATTAAAAGTTTTATACAAAAATTGTAACACCTGATACTATGAAGATGAAAACAAGATACTAAAGACTTTATTTTTTATGGCGTATACCATTCTTTTGTTATTATTATTCTATTATTCTTATAAGTGGTGTTCTAAAATTCACGCAGGAAGTAATTTTGTTAGAAAGCACAGGTTTTTAATTAATAATTGTAAATTTTTTATTGATTCATAACAGTACAACATACGTATGGAATAGTATATCGGATAAATGGCCTTGACGGCTTTGCTGACACATACGCACCCTTTTCTCGAAATTTTCCATGACCGTTTTGCATAATTGCCACTGAATTTCATTGATACAGTGCTCAATCTCCTTCTTCAAGGCGTGGGTGATTGAATTTGTTGGCATAAAACATACAAAAAGAACGAAAAATTA